TTGCTGTTGCCATTGCTAGTGTTGTTGTTGTTGTTGCTGCTGCTGCTAAAGCGAAAAACATCCGATTTGCCGGTGAGACGCTGCAGCGCCAAATAGGATTCGAGTGCCTGCAAGTTGAGCGCTGCTGCTGCTGCCGAATTGGCCGGCAGCAATGCCGCCTGCTGCAGGCTGCTGACCATGGTGCCCTGCAGCGAGAGCACCACAGCAGCTGCTGCTGCCAGATCATTGGTGGCAGCTGCTGCTGTTGCTGTGGCAGCGGCCATTGCTGCTGCGCTTGATTTAGTGGCTGCAGCAGCAACAGTTGCTGATGCGCTTGTTGCTGCTGCTGTTGAGCTTGTTGCTGCTTTGCCTGTTGCCGCTGATTGCGGTTGCACTTCTGTTTTTTTGAGCTGCTGCTCGATATTTGTTGTAGTTGTTGTAGTCATATCTGTTTGTTGCTTGTTGTTGTTGTTGCTGCTGCTGCTGCTGTTCTTGTTGCTGGCTGCAATTGTTGCTGTCGCTTCTAGCGAATGTGACTTACTGCAGCTCTCGGCTGCAGTCGCTGTTACTGCTGTTGCTGTTGCTGTTGTTGTTGTTGCTGTTGCTGTTATATTGCTTTGTTGTTGCACCGTTTGCATAGTGTTGTTGTTGTCGTTGTTGTTGTTACTGCTTGTGCTGTTGTTGTCGTGCTTGCCAGCTGCAGCAGCGGCAGTCAATTGCTTCACTGCGTCCATAAAAAGCCCAAAACACTGATCCACTGATCCACGCACACACAGCAGGATATCGAGCCAGCACTTGGCCCGTGGGCACAAAGATGCAACGCCTGTTGTTGCTGTTGTTGTCCGGCTATTGGGGCTGGCTTTGATTTTTTTTATTGTTTGGCGCACCTACGCAGGTTGAGTGCGCGCGCCTCTTGTGGCCAGTGGCTGCTGCGTTTGGTTCGTGGCTGCTTTTTGGCTTTTGACTTTGCACATGAATATTAAAAACCACACGCCATCATAAATCACGCCTTAGTCACGCTTTCAAAAGTCATAAAAATCGAATTTGACGTTCCAAACGGCAAACGGCAAACAGCAACACGGGCAAAATGAAAACAAAAAACACAAACAACAACAACAAAACCAATTGGCAGCACTGGCGCTGTTAGTGGACGGGGGTTTGGGGGAGGGGGGCACACTTCCAGCGGGTAGATCAAATGACGTCGCACACGCGCACAGCTTTGAAGAGCTTGGCCCAACAAAAGAAAACAGAAATGTTTTTGTGGGCGTTATTGTCACAAACCGTTTCAATTGGAAAGTTGACAAAGCACTGTTAGAATTATTGCAATATATGCTCGATCAGCGAACGGTACGCGGCTTGGAAGGGGGCGTGCTATTGAGGTTAAGTTCGGCGTTTCCGTTTTGACACTTCCGTAAATAAATATGCGTATAATTTGTGTTTCTTAAAACCAGGGGCGGATTTGTTGCTGCTGTAGCTGCTGTTGCTGCTGCTGCTGCTGCTGCTGCTGCTCTGCGATCAGCCGTCGTGCCGTGTGCGCTGCACAATATTGGTAAAAGATCACGGAATAACTAAAAGTCCATTGCTCTGCGAGCGGCGCGCGGACCTGGACCTGCGCTCACTTGTTGCCGTTTCGCCTGACCAAAGCGGCTCTCACCAACACACACACACACACACACACATTGCCACGCACACTTTCACAGTGCACTCGCACTCAAGCCAGCTGAGTGAGAGCAGGCGCGAGTGCAAGAGCGCAACAGACACATGATCACAAGTGAGCGACAGAGATGGAGAGAGCGAGAGAGAGTGAACACGAGAGCGCAGAGAGTGAGAGCACGCGTGAGCGCAGCAAGGTGGTTAGTAGGTGCAAACGAAACACGTTTTGTGCTTGTGTGCTTAGTGTGCCCATCTCTTGGGCGATCACCCACACACACACACATACACACACACACGCACATAGCTGCAGAGAGCGCGATCACTCACGCACACACACAGAGAGAGAGAGAGAGAGAACATGTTAACCGGTTATTGGCGCTCGCAGTTATTGTTAATATGGCAAACGCTTATTTTTGAGTGGGTGTTCTTTCGCAATTGCTTTAGAAGTAATCGCTGCGATTGTTGTTGTTGTTGTTGTTGCTGCTGTTGCTGTTGTTGTTGCGGCGCACATTATTTGCCATTTCTTATTTGATTATTAACTTAGCTTTGCAGTTTTGTTGTTGCATTTGTTTATGAGTTTCACTTTTCTCATTTCTTTCTGATTGTCATCTTTCTCTACATATTATTTTATTTTATTTTTTTGCTAGCAATTATGTAGTATTACTTTATTTGTTTGCCCATATTCAGACATACAGCCTGTTCGACTGCACCTTTCGAGAACTTGCTTGAGAACTCAGACAAATCGTTGATAGCCTTGAGCGATAGTTAAAGTCGTTGCTTGCACTTGACGTTCGTAGTCAGGGAGTTGAATTGGGGTTTGCTGGTGAATCCGAATAAAAATCATTTCGAATTTATTTATGTAATTGCTACATTCATTTAATAACTCATATAGTTATTAACTTGGATTGGTAAGTTTATTTAAATACTAAATAGAAATATTTGTAATCTTATTAGCAATGATATATGTAAAAACGTGACCTTTAAGCCCAATAAACGGGATTTCGAAGTTATCGATGAGATGTTATCGATCATCCGAAACTACGGACCATTTTCGATGGGTATAGGGTATAGCAAAATAATTACATTGCAAAAAATTGTTTTTCTTCAAAAAACCAAGAGCTCCACAAATCTGGTTTGCAAGCTAACGAAAGATGATACTGAATTGTTTAGCAGCTTTGATATGTTTTCCTTTTTCACAGTAAATATAGTATTGCATCCCCCAAAAAAACTATGTTCCTTTACTCAGGAGTCAGTCCCGCAAGGATCAATTATTTGAAGGGTATAGAAATGTACTAAGCAAATATTTCGAACAGTGTATTTACCTGCTAGCTAGTGCCCATTAGCGAACGCGTTGATTTCTTGGTCCCCAGGCGCTACCCCCAACGAATGTGTGTTGCACACCAGCAGCTGGCCCCCCCCCTTGGCAGCTGCAGCAAGAACTCATTGGAATAATTTTGCTCGCACGCCATAGCAAAACACACGCCCCACAGATGCAGATGCAGATGCTGTTGCAGTTGCAGTTGCCGTTGCTGGATAAGGGACAGGGACAAGGACAGAGAGAGAGAGAGAGAGAGAGAGAGACACAGTCACAGCTGCAAGTCCTACGCCCAGAATTGAGCACGACCGAGACGCGAACTTCGGATTGGAGCTACACTTTACGTCCAGGTTTTCAACTGTCAATTATATCTGTATGCATAAAGCTTGACTGTGGGACTCAGCTGACTCGGAGCTGCACGGATGCACAGATGTGCGCAGAGGCCGCTTGAATTTTAATGCGCTAAACGGCGCAAGTAAATGACCAATAATCATGGGAGCTGCCTGCTCCGGCTGCCGGTTGGTCAGCTACAACTCCAGCATCAGCTCTGACTGCGGCTCCAGCTCCAGCTTCACGTTTGCAGTCGGCGCTGCAATTTATTTTTGCATTAAATTGCAATTTGGCCGCAGATTTGCGGCAGCGGGTGAAGCAGAGAAGCAATGCACAGTTTTCTACCATTTATACAGATATTATCATGATTAATAATGCACAAACATGTCATATGCTCGTTTCGTGTGTGTTTGATTGGAGCGCATTAGGAGCGCGTCTCGTAATGATCGGCCACAGAGCAGCAGGGATCACCAAGCACCAAACGGCTGGGGCCTCCACTCCAGCAAGGAGCTTTGCGGATTGTGGATTAGCGTCCACAGAGTCCGGGCTCGTCCCACGGTAGCAATTATGTCGCTTAGTGCGCCCAAACGTTCGCTTATGATGATCATTGCGGCGTCGGCGCCTTCAAAAGATTAGCGATCGCAGCGACTGCATTCCAAGGTAAACTCCATGGGGTTTTCGTATTGACACAAGCTTCCTTTAAATGGCTCTACTGTTTCCTCTTTCCCTTTCTCTCGCCCTCTCTCTCTCTTGCTCAGTCTCGCTCTGGGGCAGCTTAATGTCGTTATATTTCGATAGTCGCGCTTTTAAATGCGCGTTTCCTGTGCCGCTTTGTCAGGGACACGATCGACGATCAGATCCACATCCAGGCTGAGGTTGAGGCTGCGACTCGGGCGCTGCGTCTCAAGGCAAATGGTACATGATTTCAAATATCAAGTACCAGTTTACATATAGAACGCTCGGCTCTAGCGAAAACCAGTCAATCCGCAAAACTCTTCGGACTACGTCTGAGTCTGAGTCTGATGCTGATGCTGAGTCTGGGCTTGGGCCAGGGTCTGGGTCTGGGTCTGGGCACGGGAATGCCTTGCAGCCTTACACCATCTGTCACAGGGAAAGGCGCGCATTCGGATCGGCAATAAGAATGCGCTAAACTTGATTCCTTAACGCTGTGCGCGCATGCGTGGGCTGGAATTACATGATCACGATCAGCGATAAAACTTGATGTTGTACATAGCAAGCAACATGCGCGGCAGCGGGCACAGGGACATGAACATATACAGGGACAGGGACAGGGACATTACCTGCCACAAGGGGCAAGGACAGCAGAGCAGACAGAAACTTCACTCAAGATCATGAACCAAACAAAATGTCGCAAAGCCCTACAAATACCCAGCTCCGAAACGCAGGTTGAGGATCAGGTCGAAAGTAACGGGACACGCACTCAATCGATCGCAAATTTCTACGACTTAAGATAAAAATTGAGATATATCTGCATTTCATTTTAAAGATTAAATAACAACAAAATCATTTCTCACACATTTAAAATAAGCTGAAATTTGAAGTTTTCAATCAGAGCTTTAGATTAAACAAATTACTTAACAACTTGCAGAAATATAAGGCCAATAACAGCTAAAGACTCATAATGATAAATATTATTTCTCCATGATGTGCTTTTTGGAGCAAAACTTATTAACAATCATGTAAATAACAATTTTTACAAATATCAAATAAAATAAATATTTTTAATCGATTGTTTACGCCTGCTGTTTTTTCTTTTTTATAGAGTTTGCTGTGTGTAAAGTTAGAAGTGCGTAATATTTTTCAATAGATCTCTTCTTAAATGGCCGGTTCACAAATTAAATTCACATTCCGTGGCAGCGACTTTCGCATTGGCTACGTGATCGAAAACGATTATCGCTCTCTCCTGGGCATCCACCATAGATGAACATTTTACACTTTCCTCTATTTGGATAGTAGGAATACCTCATATGGTAGGCATAGCAACTCCCTGCTACTCCAGGTTTCTGAAGACATCGATCTGGTATAATTGTTAATAATATAGTTTCATAGTTTCACGCGATTGAAGAGCTATTTTATGTAGTTTTACCAACAGCCTGCACAATGCCAACAAAGTAAATGAAAATGAAAATTAGTGCAACAAGATTCATGATATTCGACGATAAATAAGATACTTAAAATTGATCGCATATTTCTGCCACTTATATTTACCAACATTTAACTAGAACTAAGTTGTAATTTGTTCGCTCGATGGTGGAACTAATGTATTTAGACCACTAAATAAGCTACATTCACTATCCGTAAACAACTAGTACTAAAATGACACATATCTCAATCATCTTGTTTGAGATCGGCAGTCATGAATATATATCTTGGCCTAATTTTGATTGCAGCCCTCACAAAGTTAGCGTCAAGTAATAAAGCCAGGCTCTTGATCCAAGGAAACTGCCCGAAATTACATCCAATCAGCTTCAAACTCATTGCACCTGGGTGGAACATAGAGGATAGTTGTGATGGATAGACAAGCGATGTCTAAAATTTTAAGAAACGAAAACTTGGCCCGGACACAGCCGGGTCGTACAGTGCGTACTCCTAAAATTAAATAGAAATTACTGCATCAGGGTAGCCTTGATATTCCTGTTGTGAATTTCATGCAGGGCGACAATGGAAAGCCATTCGCAATCATTGCTGTGACTCGATTGTGAGAAGTACATTGAAAAGTTTAAAGTTTATAAAAATCAAGAAGGATTCTGGTAAATATTCCATGTGATACATATGAAAATATATTCGTTTAAGTAAAAGGATACGGACTTTGTACACGAATTTTTTATAGAAATAATTGCACAGTCCTTACGATGGAGCCTCCGAAGCGTAAGGCTCATAAGAACGCGGTTATAACAAATCTTTTACGTGCTAACCCTGCAAAGGTAATCCCCGTAAAAGTGCCGAAAACGAGATCTATCTACACACAAACAGAGGCGATAAAAGCAAATGGTTCAGAAGATGCATTTCGACCCAAGGCCAAGTTGGCTCAGCAGGAGAAGGGGCCGGCGGTCAAGGAGGACTCGCCTGCCGGCGATGCAGAAAAGCGACTCACCAAGAATAAGGCATGTCAGACCCAAAAAGCTTCGCTAAAGCGCGCCAAGCCAGATACATCGATAGATCCCCAAAAGGCCACAATGCTCAAAAGGCGAAAAATGGCCATTGACGTGGATAGAGCTCGCCTCAAGAAGCTTTTAGATGAGATTAACAGCGATCCGCCGCCCAGTTGGCACAAGGCCTCGATTATGTGGCTGGATGTGGATGTCCTAGAGCGTCGCATCGAGGAATTCGAGCAGGAGGAAGCCGCCAAGAAAACTGGGACAGCTTAGCCAAACGTAATAAGACGATCAAACGACCTACATAAATTGATTAGTTGAAAAATAGTACTTAAGCGCCAGTAGACAAATAGCCTTGATATAAATGTTAATTACCAAAAATATTATTAATTAATTTTAGAATAGGACATGTACTTGATCAGAACAAAAAGCTGATTCAATCTAGTCATTTCCATCTGTGGGTCGGTCAACTACATTTTCCTATATGATATGCTGAGAATAATGAGTTGTCGATGCAAGATTTTCGTCTTCTGTTGTCTTCATTTAAAGTATATTTATATTTCAAATGAGGCTAGCTCAGAAGTTGGGAGTTGCACGTCTTACGTTATTTGACAATAAGGTTTTATCGGGAACTACTGAGGTACTTGTGACCGATCGGTTATATATTTGCATGAAATCTGGAACTAACGTGCAATTTGCTTCGATTGCTTTGAATATATATTCCAAATTGCAGACATTCCAAGTCTCTCTGCACTTTCACAATAATATCGATGGAGAAAAGACATTAAAGTCGCGTATTCTATCCAAATGAGGCCACAAATCAGAACAAAGCTGAACGAAGGAAGGCATGGCTTGTATTAATAGATAGGATATATGCCTCCTAGAACGTTGTGATCGCCCAAGTGAAAGGTAACAGCTTTGCATGGTTCCAGAGTACAGGTGGACTTACAAATACGACGAGTGCATGAGGTTCCATGGGGGTGGATGTCCCAAGTTTCCAGTCGAAAATCTGGAGTGCCTTACTAAAAAGTGGAAAGCTAAGTGGGCGAGTACTCGTTAATTCGCGTATCTGGTCCAATAAAACTAAACTTTCATTTTAATGGCTGTCTATTTAACATGCGACTCTGAGAATTCTGATTTGCTTTGTTTTCAGTGTGGGATCCCTGTAAATGCCCCTTACCTTTGTGCATGTGATTTGTCGCGTCAAATTATTGATTGCTGTCTCGTAATTTGATTTTGATTGTTTGGACCGCTTGTCATCTTTCCGATCGAGGCTTTAATCTACTTTGATTTGGCACGGCGCGGGGCAGCCAAAGAAAAGTAAAAGTCATAACACACATGTACGGCAGCGATAAGATCGACTATCGACGATCTTGGCCCTGGTCCCGGCCGACCCGTTGCCATTGTTTGGCGTGACTTTTTATTGGTACGAGTAATTACCAGGGGCGAACGCCCCTGAGTTCCCGGTTCCCAATTCCCAATTCCCGGTAACAGCCGGCCGGGCAGTGGCAGTGGCAGCAGCCGCTGTTCATTAGCCGCAGGCGTTGCCGCTGATTGGACCAACTAATCCCTCTGCCTGTCCCAGACGCTGCCGTCAAGATTAGGCGCTGCCTCACTTCTTTGTCTACTTCTTCGCGTTATTATCATTATTATTCTTATGTTTAATTTTTATTTTTATTTTTTGTCAGTTCAGTTTTCTGTTGAAATCGACGGCCTGGTAGTCGATTTTGTGGTTACAATTAGTTCTCGGGCATTTTGCCTTACAATTTTTGTGTTTCTCTCGGAGCTGTGACGCAGATCTCTTATCGTTTTTCGTGAGGAATTGACATATTCACTTGGTAATATGATCTATTGAAAAAGAGCTCGGACCTTGTGCCGGCTGTTTTGAAGGTTACATTTCTGTGTGACAAACAATGGGGGAGAAATCATAATTACAATGGATTAAGAAATATTAATATTTTGCTCTTTGATCTGCGCCGTTCCTCAACTTTTGGGCTCGGATACTTGAGATCTCCCGTTGTTGTTTCTGATATTATTGTTGTTGTGTATTGACATGGTTCTCGAGGCGAGTGAGCAAACAACAAATGAGTTGGCGCATGGACAAAGATCTTAAGCAAATAAAAGTGTTGACGAATTGAAAGATTTTGAAGTGGGGAATTGCTATTAGAAAGAGTGAAAAGACTGATACTATTCTTCCTTTATGTAAATATCTACTAGGTTTTTTCGAGCTCGTTTATGTATGAAAAGCTCCAAAAAATAGAGTTATAAATCTCGTTAAGAGAAATAGTTACAAATCTTGTTTCGTTAATTTGTTTGGTGATCTAACTACAACAAGGTATAAGCTCTAAGAGAGAGCAGATTTTTTGTATAGCTATTAATTAATTTTTTTTTATAAGCTATTAAGCTTTACTTCCATTAAACTAACTGTTAGTCGAATTTACTAATATAAAGATCAACATTTTTGTAATGTGCTTATCTAAATTATGCTGGTTTAGCTTATTAGATTATTATTATTTTAGGTAGTTTATATAAGTTGCATCTTCTTTATTTTATTATTCATTGCATGTTCCCATTCCATTTTCTCTTTAACTGCTTTCTCTAGATTTCTAATGCCTGGCCAATTAAAAGAAATTCTCTAAATGCCAATCAAATTAAAATGTTTAACTCATTTCAGTTGCCAATTTTGAAATGTTTTTGCCCCGGTCGAAAGTGATTATCTGCCAAGGAAAACCGAACAATCAACTAACCGAAGTCGAACAGTGTGAATGTGAAACATTTCTGCCGCCCCTGCTCAAACATTCCCTGAATGATTTGGATGCCTTCAACCAGAAATAACAGCAACAACAACAGCAACTAAAATAACAACAACAATCAACTAAGGACGGCCCGAATTCAAATCGAAGCCATCTGGCCAAGAGCGTCGTGGGAATCAGTTCAATATAATTTGCATGGGCAAATAAGAGCTGAGAGAGTGGTTCGGAGTCGATTGCGATTCTGGGGATTGCGAATCTCAATTAATTGCAAACAAACCGGGTAAAAAATTGTAATGAAACAACTTTAAGAATACAAAAAAAAAAACAAAAAAAAAAAAAACAACATCAATGGAAAATTGTTTGCAATTTTCTCGCTGCTCAGAAGGTAGAAGGAAGTGAATGACGACTGCCGAATTATTGAGTGGCTGCAGTCACTGACTGACGGACTGACTGATGGACTGTCTGACGGACTGACTGACGGACTGACTGATGTGAGTGTACTCAGCCCCCTACTCGAAACTGAGTGACAGCCGCAGCATTTCGTTGTGCATCGCTGACCGTTTGGAATGGGCATCAGCCGCTGTGGACATGTGCTCGGAATTGGCATCGGCATCGGCAGCGGAATCGGAATCGGACTCGGTATTGATATTGGTATTGGTATTGGCTTGCCGAATGGGGCGCCATTCGTGCTCACTGGGCAAATGCTTGAGTCGTTTGTTGGCCAAGCCCCTAAATGGCCAAATTGATGCACGCGATTTAACGTCTCTCTGATTGAGCTAATGACAGAGGCGACTACGTGAGAAAGAAATAAATTTCAATTTCGCATTCGCATTGGGTCAACAACGACACCAACAACACCTCAAATTGCATTTACACACAACTCGGATAAGATATCGTATCGTAATCGGACTGCCCTAAATGACATACATAGGCTTCAAGTAAGATAGAGAGCAAGAAAGAGAAAGGCCATCGGCTGCCGGTTGTAGCAGCAGTTGCTAATTTAGGCATTAATTAAAAAATTGCTTTGGAATTAAAGCAGAATTAGTAGCAAAACAAATTTGGAGGAGCTTCTCTCCATTCTTTAATCTCCCAGAAGATTTTTAGATATGATTTTTGATTAGCTATCACTTGATTAGTGATCTTATATACTAAAGTACTTATATTCTTATAAATATTCTTAAACCAGCAACCCACCTTTTTTGTTTAGCAAATAGGTCGTCGTCTAAGACAATACTACACCCATTGTTTGAAATCTAAAAGCTCCTTGTTTATTTGTCTGAATAAAAAATTCACTTAGACAACAACTGATTTTTGACAACTTACCCGAATTGCATCTGTTTTAATCTTGAGTCTATCCTCTATTTAGTGAGACAGATCCTATGTTACTCTGGCTTTCCCAGAATTTGCTCGCACTCTCGCAGGATCCATATCCATGCCATTACTAGCCGGATATGGAATGTAAAATATGTACTATATGGTCTACACTATCGATAAACTCTGCGATTAGCTTTAAGACCGAATGTCGTGGGATCATCCACCCCCTATGGTGCATTATGATTATTCTATTGGCAACTCATTTCCTGCTGCCTGGCATTCACTTTCAATTTCTCAGGGCTGTTGTGAGATACGAGATACGATGGCACTTGGAGCACAAAGCGAATACACAAATTAATATAGGAGGCTGTCTGGACCGGGAAGGCCTTTAATCATTTTAAGCTGCGCCTTGGCCAAAGTAGAGCAGCGCACGGCAGGAAGAGTCCAGTCCAAAGCTGTAAAGCGTGGCAAATATACGCTTAATTGGCTGTGTCCCGGGACTTCCCAACTCCAAGAGTCCAGGCCAGGGCCCGGTGCAATAAAATGCAAATTAAACGAATGGAGGCCGGGTAGGCACATTTATTTACTTAGAACCTCCTGCTGTGCTTCCGAATTAAGTTTAAGCCCGGAGGCTAAAAATGCAAAAATGAGTTTTACTAATTTCTTAACTTGCAGCCAACTGCTGCATGATGGACATGCCACAGCGGCAAGAGGCAAGCGGCAAGGGGCAAGGGGCGAGAGGCGGTAGAGTTCAGTCTTTTCTCTCCTCCATTCTTGGCGTAGTAACTGAATCTTAATCCTTGCATAAATCGATTTTAAATGAGTTTCTTGCGGTTCGAAGCCATAATCAAAATTCTACTGGCGCATGCAAATCTGCTGAAGCGAAAAAAACTGGAGAACTCTGCCGGTTTCTGTTTTCGGTAGCGCACCACAAAGAAAATAAAAAAAAAAAAACTCCATGGTCACTCCCACCTGACTGCCGAAAAAGCGCCCGAAGGACGACGACGGAGACGCTGCTGTAGCCGAGCTGAGACGCGTCTTCGGCATGCGTTGAAAGTGGGGCGTGCGCCGTTTAGTATGCAAAGTGGCCCATGGGCTGTACCCCGACGGTACCCGACGGTGCCTCCTGCGTTGCCCCCGCTTGCCAGAGTCCCCCCCCACCCCTTCACTACCCGCTGTTTAAAATGAAAATGAGTTATGACTTGGACTTGGCATACGGCCGAGCGTCGGCCTCGACTCGTTTGCATATTTTAGGCCACCGTTTAATTAAAGGTTCCACAATTTCTGAACATTTGAAACAGGGCACGAGCACGAGGGTCTGTCAAGAGCTCGCGACTCGCCCATAACACTTCAGCTCTCGAAG